TGTAAGACAGCAGTAAGAAGGAGCCAAGGAGTAGCTGTAGAAAGGCTGCAGAAAGAGTCAGAAGCCAAGAGGAGGGGGCAAAGGAAGTGAGGGTGTGGAGGCAGAAAGTGGAGACGAAAGCAGACGACAGAACATTGATAGAAAGCAGGAAAGGAGGTTAAAGGAGACACTTTTAGAGAAGAAATTTGGCTGGCCTCGACTAAATTTGACTGGACTGGATTGGCGGTGTGCACGGGGTGTTAGAACCAACCTGATCGTTTAAGATGCAAGGTTTTGTCCCCCAGTACCGTGTGGTGGGCGTGGCGTGATGACGTTTGGCTCCTCCCCTTCCCCCGCCCTCTCCTCTGTTCTCTCGTCTGCTCACACGTCAGCGCTTCTTGTTGCCCTGTAGGCTTACTGTCGACGCGTCACACTGGCTAAAACAGCACCTGGACATGGATTGCTGGTGCCTCTGTAAATAAATTATTGTCGACGAATAATGGTATTATATGTCCGTCATTTTGGATGGATGATGTTGTAACAGCGATTAAGTCTACTAAGAAAACGATTTTAAATCTGCAGTGGCGTTTCCATATTTTTTCGTTCTTTTGCAAAAGTGTGATGAGATCGTAAATTTAGCAGTGTTTTACAACGCACGTAAACCCTGCTCTTTCCGACAAACTTGGTGTGGGTGGTTGGCGGGTGCTCTGGTGTGGTTTGCTTCTTCTTTCCTATCAAACATCTATTGTCCTTATCTCCCCTTCTTCTTTTTTTGTGTTTGTTACTCTCTTGTAACACCTCTAATCTTTGGCACTTATATGACCTTATTGTGGTGCAAGTGCCGTAAAACTCTTACTAAAACTAAAAACAAAATTGGTTCAGAAATACAAAGAAAAGGCTGACGCACCATAGCACGTGACTCACAGAACCACGTGACCCGTACACTGATTATTCTATGTGTTATTTACCTCCCTCCATTATCTTGTTCCAACTGTCGTGTTTTCCAACGTTCGGCACCAAGTCACCTCTCTGGAATGCTGAGTGTCCCAAGCTTCCATTACTGCCGCCTGTGATCTTGGTTTCTCATCGCGAGATTTACGAACAGAATGCTGTCAGTTTTCTTGGCAAACATGTTTTCTTCCAACGTTTTAAAGAAAATCGATTTACTTTACCCGAACAAATTGGTTGTCCGTTATTGTCATGGGGGTTGTTAGAGGGCGCCACTGGTAGGTCCTATAATTTCTTTTCTTTCCCTATGTTATTTCTACGTCTTGCTTCTTCCCTGCTCAGAATGGCCTGTATTGTGTCGATGTGCTCTTTGCACTCGAACTAAAAAAAAAGTGGAAAGTGATCGTTTGTGCAGGCGATTGTCTTGGACTGGTGGCCCTTGTAGCAGGTTCCACTATAGAATAATTGGACCGGTGTGAGCAACAAAAGTTTCCTTTTTTGAGACACTTGAGTGAATAGACGTAAGGGGTCCCAACATCTAGCTCTGAGACATTTGGATAGACGTGAGGGCCCCCAACATCTAGCTTTGAGACATTTGGATAGACGTAAGGGGTCCCAACATCTAGCTCTGAGACATTTGGATAGACGTGAGGGGTCCCAACATCTAGCTCTGAGACATTTGGATAGACGTGAGGGCCCCCAACATCTAGCTCTGAGACATTTGGATAGACTTGATGGCCTCCAACATCTAGCTCTGAGACATTTGGATAGACTTGATGGCCTCCAGCATCTAGCTCTGAGACATTTGGATAGACTTGATGGCCTCCAACATCTAGCTCTGAGACATTTGGATAGACTTGATGGCCTCCAGCATCTAGCTCTCTCTGGTAACATTAATAAAGGCAAACGAGGCAAGGATAGACCCGGATCAACTTACTTGGAGAACCTGAACAGATGGGTGACAGGGAAAGATCAGAAAAATAGTAATATAGCTTTTTTGAGAGCATCCGAACAATGAATGAAAGGAGAACCATGATCGCCACTGTCTGTCGCAGATCTGGCACTTGATGATGATGATGATTGTGATGATGATAATAGTGATGAAAACACTTGTAAAAAGTACGCACCTCTGTATTCAAGTCTCCGGTATTTTTCCTGCTGTAAAACGATGATAATGATGATAATGATGATGAGTAACATGTGCCATTTCTGCCTCCCCAGCTCGCAGTCGGAACAAGAAGAGCAAGAAGCCAGGAGAGGACGGCATGAAGGAGACGGTGTGTCCCATCTGTAGCGAGCGCCTGGCTGGTTCGGCCGACGACCTCAACACGCATGTGGAGATGTGCCTCAAACAGGTACTGGAAGCTTTTGCTTACGAATATTAAAATTTAGTTGTGAGTATTAAAATTTACTTACGAATATTAAAATTTACAATTAAAATTTACTTACGTGTATTTGACTTTTTTATCTTCTGTTGCTGGTGAGGAGGGATGCAGTTTTCTATGGCAGGCCAACTGTGCATATCATCAGAGTGCTGGCCAGTGCTGACTGCACTGTACTGATGCTAACCTTTTGGATGAAGTCATGCTTGGGCCAGATGTTTTGTTTGTTTTAGTAGAGGTTTTACGGCGCTCACAACTGCATTAGGTCATATGAGTGCCAAGGGGTGGGTGTCAACTGAGAAGTTACAAAATGACCCCAGGGGGTACGGATAGGGTTAATTGACAGGATTTTATGTTCTGTCACTACTGTCGCGTTACCATTGTTTTCAGATCAGCCTTGTCCGGTTTCTGCGGACTCCTCTGTATGTGTTTGTGAGATTTCTCTCTCTCTCTCTGTATTTGTTTTGAGTTTTATTCTCTCTCTCTGTGTTTCAGCGCTCCGGAGAGGGCGAGGAGGAGGCGGTGGATGTGGAGGGAGAGTTTGAGGAGTACGAGTGGGCGGGGCAGACCAGGGTCAGGGCCACGACCTTGCTGCCCGGTGGATTTGCAGGTGAGGGGGACAGCTGGCTTCTTGTCTTATATCATCTAATCTCAACTCATTTTTTTTTGGGGGGTAGCTTATCTCATCTCATCTCAACTCCTTATCTTGGCTCATCTCATCTTTGTTTTGTATCTTATCTCATCTTGTTTCATCTTATCTTATCTTATGTATCTTGTAATCTCATCTCATCTTTTTTTTTGGTATCTTATCTCATCTTGTTTCATCTTATCTTATGTCATCTCATTATCTCATCTCATCTCTTTATCTCATCTCATCTCATATCATCTCATCTCATTATCTTATCTCATGTCATCTGGTTTCATTTCATTATCTTATCTCATTTCATCTCATCTCATTTCATCTTATCTCATCACATTATCTTTTCTCATCACATATTATAGTCGTAATTCATGTCATCTTATTGTATAAATAAATCTCATCTCATCATCTTATCATCTCATCTCATGTCATTATTTTATCTCATCTCATCTCATCTAATCAGCATCAGGATTCCAGACACACAATAGCCGTCGCGACGGAGACGAGGAAGGGGAGTTAAATGTGGACGGAGACGACACGGAGGAGTACGGCAAACCTCAGTATCCTTTTTTGGACCGATGTCAGCTTAAAGATAAAGAAAAATTCGACAGAGCCATTTAGAAAGCCAGCAAGATCTCTGGATATGATTTTACTAGAAGTGATGAAATCAGAAATGTACAAGACCACAAGTATAAAAAAGATAAAAAGCATTATAAACGACCCATCACGCCCCCTTTCCACGCAAATAGCCGGATCACACAGCTGCAGATATGTACCTCTAAAAACAACGAAAGAAAAATATAAAAGAAGTTTTTTGCCATATAGCATAAGGCTATTGTCAGAATAAGCATAGAGTATGTATCTATATAACTCCGAAGGTCTTGTAATTAAATTTCTGCATGTTGGCATATACGATATGAAGTTTAATCTGTTGGTGTTGCTGTCCTTAACCGTGTGCAAGATTCACGGAGACAGATATCGTCCCTGTGGGATCAGACGGGGGAAGTCCTCACACAGACATCCGGAGCCCTCGCGGAAATTTGCCCCCAGAGAGCAGGTACGTTTGTCAAGGGGAAACTGTCAGTGTCAGAGACGCACACTTTTGGAAAGACTTTCAAAAATAAAATCAAAGCCACGTAGCACTTTCAAAGCTTTCACACCTTTAAGTGATATCAATATTTATACAGTTGAAACTGGACACCCTTTGTCGAGGGGAAATTTTAAGCAGGGGGACATCTTACACAGTGTCTTTATGATGTTTAAAAAAATACAGAAGGAAGGAAATGGGGAGTGTCTGTTTGTACAGGTGATTGTTTTATACAAGTGGCCATTTGTACAGGTGATGATCTTATACAAGTGGTCATTTGTACAGGTGATTGTCTTATACAAGTGGCCATTTGTACAGGTAATTGTCTTATACAGGTGGCTGTTAGAGCAAGTTCAATAGTATATCAAAGCCACACACCATATCAAATGGTATTGATAAAATTTTAAAATGTGCAGCTCTGATAGTGTAAGGCTTTGATGCTTTTCCATTTCATGAGCGCTTGCCCAATGTTGATATTAAGGTAAAAGCATTTTTCTTGGTTTTGATCGGGTGATTTTTAAAAGTTGTACTAGATAATAAGTTGTTACAGTAAACTGTAATGGATGGTTGGCGAATGCTTTGGTGTGGTTTACTCCTTCTTTCCTATCAAACATCCACTATCTTTATCTCTCCTCCTTCTCTTCTTTGTATGCCACTATCAAGTAACACCTCTAATCTCTAGCACTTGTATGACTTATTTGTATTGAAAATGCCGTAAAACTGAATTAAACTAAAAGAAATACTAATAGTGTTTTGTTTTGTCTTGTTCCAGCTTCACATCCAGGACGGACACGGTGAACGCCGACGGTAAGTCCCGACGTCTGGCCAGAAGTGTTTGTGCACTGACTTGCGTTAGGGTTTCCCTTTAGATAAGTTGATGTCATGCTGTATACCCATATAGTTCAGTCAATAGCATGCTGGGTTATGATGCAGACTTCCCTGGTTCAAATCCCCAATGCTGTCCCCGTGGTTTTATGCACCCCGCATAATTAAGCAAAATTTGATCATTTTTTGCATAATTTCTGATTATTTTCCTTTATCATTCTTTGTTAAAATTAACAAAATCGCATAATTTCTCATTTTTGGGCTCAGTTTGCATAATTTCAGAATTGTTTTTGCATAAAACGACGGGGACAGCCTATGGGGTGTTTTTTATCAGTTTATTTGGGGATTTTTCCTGTCTCTCCACCCACTTGGCTGGAAAAGTGTGGACGTCAACATCGACGGACTAGATGCTTCATATAATTGGGGGTTTTCTTGTTTCCCTAATTTGTCCTAATTATCTGCCTTCCCATACTTTTCTGTATCCTCAAAGTGTATAAAATCTTTGTTCTTTTCTTGAAGGTGTGGTGGGTAATACATGCTTGTTGCTTGAAACCTATTTTTTTAATGCTGAAAATGCTAGGGTATAGACATTTCAAACTAAACTTGTTGCAACAAAGCTTAGGAAATAGAAGGCTTTTGTTGGTTTTACTTCTTTGATGCTCACAAAGATAATGTCTTATTATGAGCGTGCGTGTGTGTGAGTTAAATCTGGAGGTATGAGCATGCGCTCGTAGGAGTTAAATCTGGAGGTCTCCACCCACTTATCTTGGTGCTGTTGGAGATTTACGTTAAATCGGGAGGTTCTGTAATCTTTCATACTATCAGTTCTTGTATGCATCAGAGATAGCATGATGTAGAGTGGAAAATGTTCAATACAGCTACCCATTGTTGGGAGAAAAGTGGTTTTGTATTCAACAGGTGGACATCTTGGATGGCATCATTGGAATTCTTTTTTAAACATGGGGTGTGGGGCTGGGGGGGGGGGGGGTCGTTTGTACAAGTCTTCTTAGATGTCTGTTAGATAGAACAGGTTGTACTGTATCCCTCACAAATGTTTTTTTCTGGCCCCTCAGACTGTTAGAAGTAGGTGGACTGTATCTCTCACTCACAAACATTTCTCTCTGTCCCCTCATGTATCTCACAGTTAGACCAGGTTGGACTGTATCATACTGTATGTATCTCTCACTAACATTTCTCTCTGTCCCCTCATGTATCTCACAGTTAGACCGGGTTGGACTGTATCATACTGTATGTATCTCTCACAAACATTTCTCTCTGTCCCCTCATGTATCTCACAGTTAGACCAGGTTGAACTGTATCATACTGTATGTATCTCTCACTAACATTTCTCTCTGTCCCCTCATGTATCTCACAGTTAGACCAGGTTGAACTGTATCATACTGTATGTATCTCTCACAAACATTTCTCTCTGTCCCCTCATGTATCTCACAGTTAGACCAGGTTGGACTGTATCATACTGTATGTATCTCTCACTAACATTTCTCTGTGTCTCCCCAGGTGCTGGCTGCAGCAAACACTTGTCCCCGTACGACATCCCTCAGCGATCTGCCTGTGATCAGGGGTAGGTGAACGCGTCATTGACCTTGGACACGTCTCTGACCTTGAACACATGATTCGTCCACTCACTGAATGTTGAAATGACTGCTTCCAGTTCCAGTGTTTGAGAAACATCATCATCATCATCATCATAAAATAGCGAACAATTTTCCATTTCGTCTTTTGTTTCTTCTGGAAGCATCATCATCATCTTATCATCATTATAAAATACCAAACAATTTTCCTTTTCATCTTTTGTTTCTTCTTGAAGCTTAACAATTATTACTATGATGACACATTTTTGACAAAAATCCAACATTAAATCAGGACACTGGCCAAGAAAAACAATTTGGTTGAGAAACAGATTATGTTGTTTTCCTGGGTAGTATTTGCTCTCTCTTTTTCTCTCTCTCTCACTCTCTCTCTCTTTTTCTCTCTCTCTCTCTCTCTCTCTCTCACTCTCTCTCTCTCTCTTTCTCGTTCACTGGCTCGCTCGCTCTCACTCTTTCTCCTATGGCTTTATGTATGGGTAGTAATTATGATAATAATGATGTTAATAATAGTAATGTATTTTGTCAGTCAATGTTTAATGAATTACAGGTTAACATATGTCGTACAATCTTGTTCCAGCAATGACGACCAGTCTATATCAGCGCTGGTGGGAGCTCTCAGAGCCAAACTGCAGGATCTGGAGGCAGAGAAAACAGAGAAGCAAAAATGTCTTATCTGCATGGTAGGTGCAACATCGCTTTTTTCTGGGATTTTTTGGTTTTGGGAATTTCTTTTTGGTCAAAACCCCTTCTGATATCGAAGCATGATTTGATTTGACATAAAGCTGTAATATGTTTCTGGGTCTGAGATTCTAGACCCTTCATAAATGAAACAGATAAATAAATATAGTTTATGAAATATGTCCAGTTGAATTGCTCTGACTGTCACCTGTATAAGACAATCACCTGTACAAACAGTCACTTCCCATTTCCCACCTTGTGTATTTTCTGCATTATAAAGACATTGTCTAAGATTACCAGTTTTCCCTGGACAACGGGTGACTGTCTCAGATAAATTTCCTCTGTCTATATATTCTTTATATTTGAAACAGGTGTATAGTGAAATTTGTACGTAACAAAAAGATTTCCGTGTCCATCCAATTTCACTATGTGCTTGCTAGACTATGCTTGTCTTTAAGAGAATAGAGATAGAAATAGATTATACTAGCTGGGCCCTCTTTCGATGAAAGGAATGATCGGCGCATTAACATCAACTGAGAGTCATTGGCCTACTATATTTACACTCTACTAGAATGGAGCAATAAATTTTGAGAGATCAGATGCAAAAAATTAGAAGGTCTAGATCTAGATCTATACTCTCAAAACAAAATGCGCCTCGGAAAATATCACTTCCCGATTTTCTAAAAAGGCATCAGCCTACAAAAGCGATCGGCAAAATAAAGATATTCAGCTTTTTGCAGCAAAACTCTCAAAACTGAAAAAACGAAAGGCGTCATGATCTGGAGAATATTTTAAAGAATCGTTTGGCGAAAACCGCATGTCGATCGATGCAGCCATTAAAAAGCCTTTTGAATAGCAACATTCGGCCACCACAAATAGATAATAGATTATATTTATAATATGTATGTTTGTCTTTGAGAGTATAGACAGAAATATATATATATGTGTATTTCTGTCTTTGAGAGCATAGATATATATATATATGTGTTTATGTTGAAACCCTGGTTTTTAAAAGAATTTAACCGTATATTTCCCCCCCATGTTGTGTGTGTGTGTTGGGGGGGGGGGGGGGGTTGTAATACTGCAATAAACTGCAACAAACACGGTTTTGTACTACTTATGTATTTGTCAAGGTCTTGCATCCATCCAGGGAAATGATGTGTTCTGATGTTACTTTTAGAAGTACCCTAGGCCTACTGTAGATAATCATACTCATAGGAAAATTCTCACAAGTTTTATGGGTGGTTGGCGGTCCTGACGTTGTGTCCTTGGGAAAGGCACTTTACACGAATTTTCCTCACTTCATCCAGGTGGGAATGGGTACCTGGCCATAGATAGCGAAAGATCTTGTCAGTATGTTAGTGTTTTAGCTTCTATAAAAGGCTGCTTGCACTGTATGCTTCCCAGGAAGTTGAGGTTGTTTCAGAATGCTCTCAGGTCTGTTTGGGTAATAGTATAGATTGTTAAGCGCATAGAGCTTGCTGCTGAGCGGGGATTTGCGTTATACACATTTTATCTATTATCTATTATTACTCTGGTGTTGTTTGCTTCTTCTTTCCTATAAAACACATGTTGTCTTTATCTCTCCGGCTGCTTCTTTGTATTTCAATGTTACTCTTCAGTACCACCACTGAACTTTGGCTTTTACTTTTATGTTTTAAGTGACCTTTTTTTTAGTCCCGTGTCCTGATTTTGGTGTCGATATTTGTAGGTTACGTAAAAATGTATTGATATGGTGCAAATTGTTCTGTTTCAAGAAAGAAAAAAAAACAAGAAAAACACAACAAGAAAAAGAGGAATTGTTTAGTCGGTGATGATGATAATAATGATGATGATGATGAGTTTTTATGTGACCTATGCGTTGCAAGTGCCGTAAAACTCGAACCAAGACTTAAAAACTCTCAAGTTTTACATCTTCCTCCCTCTCTAAACAATACACTTTTCATTCCAATCCCAAGTTTCGTGCATTCTGCTACAATTTTTTTTCATCTCTTTCCCAGGGTGCGAAAAAACTGTGTCCGCAGTGCAACATGATTACAACAGCGTCCGACCTGCGGAGGATCTATTTATAACATCTCGAGGGGATCTCGTTTGTCGCTACTTAAACATGCAAGCGTCTTTCCTTGACAACACATTGCAAGGGAAACTGCCGAGAGTGAAGAAGCAAATTGTGACGACAAATTGTTCTAAATCACTCGTATGGTTTGTCAAGTTGCCAGTTTCAAGGAAGGTTGCTTTTTTTTCAGCCTGATTTCATCATCAAGTTCTGTGTTAATCTCATTTTAATTTTAAGCGTTGGTGGCATGTCAAATGCGCAGCATTAACTTTATGGTTATATTGTTGTTTCTTTCACTCTGGTCTTAATATTACAACAAAAAAAGATGTAATGTAAACTTATATTGTATATTTTGTGACATTTAGGGGGGGGGGGGATGACGATTGTTTTGAGTTTGAGGTAACTCAAAAAAGCAATCCAGCTTCTTCAGTTGCAGGTCAAGATAAAGAATAAAGCTGCGAGATGGAATTTATTGATTGGCCATATGTACGACAAGTCGTATTGGACACATGCAGTGCGGGATGGTTCCTTACAAAGAAACGAATATTTGTTTCTGCTTTTCTGGCATAATTTTTTCAACTCTTATCAATCAGAATTACTTTCTGGGATTTTCCAGAACAGCCAGTACTAAATCTGTGCTGTCATTCGAAATTTGCATTAGTTTCTCTGTCACTAACAATTTTGTATCGAGATATTTCTCATTCACCTCCACAAATGTTTGGGGAATGTGGGTTGAAGATTGGATGACTGCTGTGAAACAAACTGTGAATATTTGTCTGTGACTACGAGTCTGATGTTGGCTGTTTGATGGACCCAGACACATCGAGTTGCTCAGGGATGCCAAATGTCCGCTTTTTCCTTTTTTTTCCTTTTTTTTTCATCCGTTGGAATTTTTCATCGTCGGCTTTCATAAGAGAGAATATGTTTTTGTTTGCTTATTTAAAAACTTTACAAGGTTCGGTTTAGGTGAGATGTGATGCTCCGCTCATTTTCAGGTGTTTTTTCAAAAATCGTTTGGCATCCCTGGTTGCTGTATACTGGAATATCTAAGTTTCTCACTGAAAGTGCATTCAGTGGTGGTTGTTTTGGGTTACTGGAGAATTTGTTTGGATTTTGTCATTTCTGGTCTGGACATTTCACAAACAGTGGAATCTGCCAAATATGGTCTGGACATTTCACAAACAGTGGAATCTGCCAAATATGGTCTGGACATTTCACAAACAGTGGAATCTGCCAAATATGGTCTGGACATTTCACAAACAGTGGAATCTGCCAAATATGGTCTGGACATTTCACAAACAGTGGAATCTGCCAAATATGGTCAACCCAAAAAACAGGCCTTAAACTTAAACCAAAAGTAAATAAAGACCTGATTTTTTTCTTCACAATTTGAGCACTTTTTCAAACTGAAAAAATGGATCTACCTAAACTGGAGAAAATGTGGCGGTCCCGCAGATTTTGGTTGTGCTGACTCCACTGTGCCAGATTTTGAATTGCCGTACATGTAGTGGAAGGAAAAGAAATCGAATGAGGTAGTGCTTGATGAAGCTACGAGGGACGCTCACTGTTAAGTACAATCAGGAAACGACAAATGCAGTTTTTGGGACACCTGAATAGACATTATAAGGGTAGTGAACATCTTGCTCTCACTGGCAAAATTGGGGGCACGCGAGGCAGGGGTAGGCCCAGAGCAACATACGTAAGGAACCAAAACAAGTGGGTGACAGGGAAAGATCAGGGAAACGTAACTTTTTTGAGAGCATCCGAGCAAAGGAATGAATGGAGAACCATGATCGCCGATGTCTGCCACAGATCTGGCACTGGATGATGATAATACATGTAATACCCTTCGCCCTTCCAAGATTTGGTTTGACTTGCTACTTGAAGTGTGATGAAGTAAGGCACAGTCATAAAGTAAGGTTCAATTTCTCTGTTGTGTGAAGAGAAGTAGTTCTGAAATGTGTGCTGTAGGTGGCCTTGTGTGTCGTTAAGTGTGTATGTCAGTGTGTTAGTGTGTGTATGTCAGTGTGTTAGTGTGTGTATGTCCGTGTGACTGTGAGAAAATTTGTATTTTTGGTGGCTGCGTGTGTTTGTGTGTGTGTGTGTGTGTGTGTGTGACAATGCGACAAGATTTGTGCTTTGTTGTGATGAGGGGGGGGGGGGGACCATTTCTGGTGGCTGTGTGTTGGTGTGGACAATTCTGTTTGTAAAATAACTGTACATTTGACATTGCGTATTGGAGAGAGAGAGAGAGAGAGAGATATATATATATGAGTATGAGGGAAGGAGTTTGTGGTCACATAAACCCGCAGCAGACAGGAATGGTTCCCAGAATATCCTCCACCAGCTGTGCAAATGTAATATATTGTAATAACCCCAGAAGGGAAAATTTTTCCAGAGAGCGAGAAAAAACATTTCATTCTTTTAACGACTGCACCTACTTTAGGAATCTTTTCTGGATTTCCTTTTTTTTTTCAGCATGTAGAATTTGAATTTTCAAAAAAATATTTCTTGAAATATCAACATTTAGAATTGAATTTTGAGAAAATATTTCTTGAAATATCAACATTTAGAATTTGAATTTTGAGAAAATATTTCTTGAAATCATGAAACTGATATCACAGATTAAGAAACTGCAATTTTTTGAAACATCAAAATTTTTGGCTTTGTACATGTATGGTATGGTATGGGTTTAACGCCCCTATCAACACTATTACTATTAGGTTATTTAAGGGGCGGGACCTCCGGGTTTATCGTCCGTCTCCGATAGGACCGTTTGTACATGTGAACAGCTGTCCAATGATATGCTGTTTGTATTTCATAACAGTAAACATCAAGTTGTCAGGGGCGGGGGTTTAGATTTAGGTTACAAATGTATTGTAGAAACCTTTTGATTTTCTTTACTCTGATTTTAATGTGCTGTATGGAGGGAACACAGTTTTTATTTTGATGTTTTTAACTCTTACCAACCAGAATTACGTTCTTGGATTGTCCTGAACTGCCAGAATTACATCTGTGCTGTCATTCAGATTTTGTGTCGCCGACAAATTGGGATTCTAGAGCTACTTTCCTCTTCACCTTGCTAAAACATAAACCATCTGCAACATCCGGGGGAAGTGGATGGTGACAAAAAAGCAGGAGAGGTCGCGGGCAGTATTGCCTACAGTATACAGACATCAGTTATTCTTGGCAACTTTTGAGATAGGTCCGTATGCACTACTGCCCGTGAGGTGTATTGTCCAGGAATTTGATCAACTACCAGGTATCTTGATTTGGAAAGTGACTCCTCAGATTCTAGATCCAAAATTTTCTGTGACAGAATGGCCTACCACTTGAAAAAATACGCCTTCAAGCTTCAAATTTTCTCAAAAGAGGAAGCGTCTTTCATGTTAATTTCTAACTTGACCAATATTAATATTAATATTATTAACATGGATTTGGAAGACTGGACACAAATGTGTAGACCTAGATACATGGTATGTGTTGTGTGTGTATTTATTTTAATCACGGGAGGTGAAAACTGAAAACGACATATTAATAATTAATCTATATGTTCTGGCAGAAGTGGGTCAACAAAACCGACATTGAGCGTGTCATTTTGGTTGGTGGGAGTTGAAATGACTTTCTGATTGTTCGTTCTGATGAGCTGTGACTGAGTGAGACGTACCCCGGTACTGATTACTGAAAGTTGTTGTCTTCTGACCTGAAGACACTCTTCTTTATGAGTTTCCTTTTCACGCTGATATATGACTTTACGCAGTTGTAAGCGCCATAAAACTTACCAGACTCATGTTTCATTTCTTGATTAAACTGCAGATTTTTTTATGTATGTTTTGTTGATTTTTTCAAACATCCACAGGGGACCTCGGCGACGTATTTTGTACATTTTTGTGAGAGCCTTGGTCCAATCTGTGAATTAAAATCTGGAGTTACAAAATCCTGACAGGTGTTGTGTTTGTTATATTATATTATATGTATGGATGTTGTTGAGGAATTTGAATAGCAGGAATTAGACCTAGTATCTTCTCATTGAGTGGGTGGCTGGTGGGTGCTCTAGTGTGGTTTGCTCTTTCTTTCCTTTCAAACATCTATCGTCCTTATAATTCCTTTCTTTTCTCTAATAATAATAACTAGCTGGGCCCCCTTTCGATGAAAGGGATGATCGGTGCTTTGATATAAGCTAAAAGTCATTGGCCTACTATATTTACACTCTACTGGAATGGGGAAATAAATATTGAGAGATGCAAAAAATTAGGTCTAGATCTATATTCTCAAACTCGTACTAAAACTAAACTAAAAAACTAAGGCCATCCACTCTGTTGTCCAGCTTGAATACAAGCTAACAGTGCACACACAAACACACACACACGAACACACAGTCTCTAACACACACACAAGTAAAACCAAGTGAGAGAGTCTGACAGATAACCCAACACTATCAATGTTTTGATAAATTAATACCATGAAAGCATCAAGAATTTAATTTAGTCACAAAAACGAAAAATTACACGACCTAAAACAGTCCGACATATTACAAGCTACATTGTTTTACTGTAAACCATCATTCTCATCACACCACTGCTCTCTGGCTGCATTCAAAAAGTATCGGTTTTACTGTAATTAAAAACAATGCAACAAACAAGTTACTGTTACTGACAGAATTAGGAACAACTCCTTTTTTTTCCTAGCTCCATTGCTTGTAGAAAATGATTTACTCTTTTGTCAGTTTTATTTCTAAAACGACAGGTCACTTGTGATTGTATAAAGGAAATGATTTTGACACTGCACTAAAAAAATACTCCATAATCCTCCAAATTTTGATAACAGAATACCCTATGGTATCGGTGGAAATTATGCGATTTCACCACATTACGTTGGAAAATGTTTGAGAACAACAGGCAAACCAAGCAAGTGAAGTAAGGCCATAAACCTATCCTATACATTTTCAGAACGTATAATAAATAGAAAACAGCTCATTAGTGAAGGAGTTGAAAAGTTTATTTTTTTTAAAATGATATAAAACGAACAATATCAATAATTGCGACCTAAATTATGGCCATTTAAATCGGCCGAAACACCACAGAACAAAACTTATGTACGGCCAATTTAATCGTCCTTGGACACTTCATGGGTTTAACATCTCATTTACAACAGGACAGAAAATCTGAAAGTCAACTCAAGCTGAAACTCTATTTAGATTTTAAAATCCAACAGAAAACTGTACATAGAAGATTTTTAAAATGTTATACTCATCTGGACAAGCAAGTAAGAACAATCAATGTAAGGAGCATCAACAAAAACATATTTAGTAATGCAATATTTGAGACAATGTGGGTTAAATCAGGTGCTCATCAAAATGACGAAATCAAAGAAAGTAACATTTTTCCACTCATAGGGCAATTTTTATAAATCAGATTTTCATTTTGACTCAACACCTTTGATGTTCATTTAAAAACACATTCCTGGGTGGATTTTACCGACAAAAGTTGATCAAAGGTACAAAAAATGTAAATTTGCAGTTTCCAAGGACTCTCAAGCTTTGAAAGTCACCAAACTTTGGCTGACATTTTCTCACTAATTTTACATTATCATTGGGCGACCCCCCCTCCTCCCCATCACCACCTTTCTCAATCCCAAATATCTAAAGTTATATTCGTGATAAATGGGTATTTTTTTAGTTTTTTAAAATCAAAAGCAAGACAAACAAACAAACTTTAAGATGATTCCAATAACTCTATATGCCCAAAAATTGACGAGCGCCTGATTCCACCGCGTCGTGACACAAATTAGCAGCAGCAGACTTTGTACTTCCTGCCTGTACAGAGCGCTCACTGACACTGACAAAGTGACACGACATTATGATTTCTCATCTGGCCTTTCATTCAATGATTTCTAGCAACACAAGGCAGAGATCTGAGGTCGAGACAATATCTGTGTAGTTGTTACCTCATCACCTCTTCCCCTTGTTGGGATATTTCGAACCTGGCGTAATTTCATACTCCTCATAGACGGGAAACTCACCTGAAAGAGAAATATAAATATTATTCTTGACGTTCATTAGTACAACAAAGTGACTGAAGAGTTTTTGTTCAAGTGTAGGCGTTTTTACTTTTTACATCACCATCCACACATTTTAGAGGATCATGATTTAGGAGGTGGGCTTCCTACCATGCCAATCAGCACCTACATGGGCTGAGAGGGATAAAATATCCCAGCAGAAAGACTGAGAGGAATACAACATCCCAGCAGAAAGACTGATACGCTTGATAAAAATTCTCCCCACTCAGGAATCAAACTCGAGTCTCCAGCATGGGACAGCAAAAGTGTCTTACCACTACACGGTACACCACAGACGCCGGAAGTGACCGAGTGGCAACAGTAACACACAGGGGCAAAAGTGACCGCTACACCACACACAAGGGTAATGACATTAGGGACAGCACCCACAGGCAAAACTCAAGAATAACCTGGTGTGGGACAGTAAGGGAAATAACTTACTAAAAATGTCTCATACATCACATTAACTTTATAATAATATTATTCACACTATATCGGATGCAAATGATAGAAAAAAATTGAAATACTTATTAAATCTTTGACTCTGAGAAAATCATGAATTAATGAATGCAATGACTAGACTTCATTAATATCTCATGACAAACATAATGGTTTTAGTTAACAAAGCGATGAATGCTCTAAATTCATCAAAATTGCAAAACCTTTTGTAAAAATTTTTTAAAAACACATTACATTCACATCACCATCTGCTCTCCACACACCTTCCATTCAAATATTAGCAACTGTCCTAAGTCAGAGCACCTTAACTCTTTATCTCCGTGGGGGGGAAAACCCACTATGCCGAGGCCTATTTTTAGTACTAAATCTAAAAATAACGAAAACGTCACTAAAATGGTCATTAAATCAAAACAAGTGAACCTATTTCGATAGTAATTCATGTAACGAAATCCCGATAAAAGAGACCTGTTTTCGGCAATTGCCAAAGAGTAATTTAATGTCGAAGTCGTTGTAAAGGAATGTGCCCGAGCCGCTGTCAGCAGCTCACTGACACAGCAGTTCCGACCGCGAGCCGCAGGGAGCGACTTGCCGGAGATAAAGAGTCGAAAAACTTACTTTTCTGGGTGTTTGAGACAACAGTTTCTCCAATCCCCGTCTGCGACTCTGTCTCTGCCAATGACTCACTCTCCTGCAAACAAATTGATTTTTTTGTTTTAGTTTTAGTAAGAGTTTTACGGCACCTGCAACACAATAAGGTCATACAAGTGCCAAAGATTAGAGGTGTTACAAGAGAGGAACAAACATAAAAAAGAAGGAGGGGAGATAAGGACGATAGATGATAGGAAAGAACGAGCAAACCACATCAGAGCACCCGCCAACCACCCACCAACAAATTGATCAGTTCATTTTTAGTTTTAGTAGAGGTTTTACTGTGCTCGCAACATAATAAGGTCCTATACGTGCCGAAGATTAGAGGTGTTACAAGGAAGTAACAAACACAAAAAAGAATGAGGGGAGATAACGACAATAGATATTTGATAGGAAAGAAGGAGAAAACCACATCAGAGCACTCGCCAACCACCCACAAACAAATTGATCAGATCAGAATCAGTGAGAGTAGCTTGGCTGGGAATACCAGACAAAATATTTTTTTTAGCTTAAAATCAACATAATATTAATTTAATTAATATTATACAGCCACAATGGAAATATCTGCATTTCTCTATATGACACTTTAACTCTTTGTTAGTAATGTTAGATAGAGATCTCAGCGTTCCACAGAGTGGTGTCGAGTTAGGTAATAAATTTGACAATGTGCCAATCTGAAAAAAAGCAAGTCTAAGTAAGCAAATATTCTTACAGGACATTCTTAGACGGGCTACCATAATGATAGGAAGTGATGTATCCTTCAAAGTCTAAAGTGAAAGAAGAGAAAATTATCTCTCAAACCATGTCAAGCATGGTGGGTCTATTTCACACAGAAAAGTACAGGAGCTCCAACAGGTTCCTAAGGTTTTGCCAACCAACTCAAGGACTTGATCCACATTACTACTTCAGCGTCGTCAAGTCTGTGTGGAGCAATAGAAGGCCTACTAGAAAACGAAGAATAGGTACCGCCCCGTACAGAAGCAGGCTTCCGTACCTGCTGTCCCTGTCGTTTTATGCAAGAAAAATTCTGAAATGATGCAAACTGAGCCAAAAACTGTGAAATTATGCGATTCTGTTAATTTTGACAAAGAATGATAACAGAAAATATAAAAAAATTATGCAAAAAATGATCAAATTTTGCTTAATTATGCGGGGTGCATAAAACCATGGGGACAGCCATACGCAGAGCCTCAAAAACATATTAAACATGTTTTTTACGCACGTGTAACTCCTACAACTAGAGCCATTCCTTCCACAACAAACCTTTTGTTCTGTATTCTTCATGTCCAGCTTGTCCGCGCGGATCTTGGTCTGCATCATCTTCTTGTAGTTTCTCTCAATCTCCTGAAGAACAAATAGAAATGAAAAGTTTGCCAGTGTTTAGTTTTCACTCAGTGGGGTGGCCACACACCTTAGCATGCACCACGGCGGAAAACTGTTCAACTTTTCTAAGCTCAGAAAGAAAAATATTACAGGACAGAGAAAAAAACCTGTTTCATTCTTTATAAAATTGAACCTACCATACATTATGTATTTTTCTTGAGGGTTTTTTTTTCTCCAACTTTTGGAATTTGACTTTTAACCAACTATTTCTTGAGCATATATGCAACCTATAGTACAGATTAAGTGCTGTGCCAAAATTATAGTTGTCTCCCCATCCATGTAGGAAAATCTGACTGGCCTTGACTCAACCAGCTGAATATATGATTGACAATGTGCACTAGGTTTTCGAGTCGTACATTCGGAGTGAGTCAAAGCACACCTAACACCAGATCTACCCAGCTACAGGCAGCCAAAGATCTCGTCAGTTTGTTAGATTTTGAGCGTGTGAAATCCGTAGCTTGCACTGTATGCCTCCCAGGAAGCTGAGAACGTTTCTGAGATTTCTAGGGTCTGCTGGGGTAATAATAATTCAAATTGTAAAGCGCAAAGAGAATGCTGTGGAGTGTGGAGTGCTATATAATATATACAAATGCAATTATTATATAGGCCTACATTATCATTATATCTTCAACAAATGCAAATCTGTCAGTGTAACAACGCTCATCACCATAAACAAACTGTCTAGATGTTTCAGAGCTTGACTCAGTTAATGCTGCAATGTAACCTACAGTACACAGTGTTGGTATTCAAAACTCAGCCTGTAAGTACAGTACACAGTGTTGGTAACCAAAACTCAGAGGGGATTTGAACCAAGCAAGCCTAACAAACAGTCTTTGTGTGATCCATTATGCTTGCAAGCAAAGGTTTTTTATATGTATGTGACTAAAGATTTTATGTATGCAAGCAAAGATTTTATACATAATAAAGCCTTTATATACGCACGGTAACTAAAGATTTTATGTACATGGTAAAGATTTCATCTACGTAACCTAAAATTGTATGTACATAACCAAAGATTTTTAAACTACAAAATAGTTCACTCCCTCAACAGGATATCCATGGAAATATACGTATATTACATCTGCAACAACAATACATGTTGCTACCACCACTGACAAAGATTTTTTGTTTTCTTTCTGAAGTAAGCGCTGTCTTGTTACAATCTCTGCTCTTACTGTCACATTACTGTGTTCACAAGATACTGTCAGATACATTAGCCTCGCAGAAAACTTGACATTCCAAACACAGCTATTCAGTAAAACTAAAAGTCTTTTGATTATGCACTTTCAAAAGATTTTTTAAAAGATACCAAAGGAAAAACAAAGTACCTCAGGTGAGGGTGGATGTTCTCTCCTTCCCCGCAGCCACGCTAAACAGGAGGAAAGAAATAAAAAATAGATCATGACAAGAACCTAAGATTATATTATGTAAGTTAAATCAAACAGGGTAGTTTTTCTTCTTCTTCTTTATACATAAAATGTATTTGAATAATCAGGAGTTTCATTACATATATATATATATATATATATATAATTATGAATGAGGGGGAGAAAATAAACATGATAAAGTAACCCTCTCACCCTCTCTCTCATTTCCCTCTCTACCTCCCCCCCTCCTCTAGCTCTCTCTCTCTCTTCAATACTCTTTCAAGAATACTGTTTAATAATAATATTTATGTCTGTCTGTTTAGTGCTCTGCCATCTTGCCTTTCCTAGCAACTTAATAATCTCTCTTAGTCTTAGAGTGTGTCTGTTTTCTTCTAACTTAAAAAAACCAAAAACAATGAAATAATTTCATGGAACTTACAATCCCATTCAACTGGAACTTCCGGAGTGTCGAAACGATCCAAGTCTTTCCTTTCCTCGATATATCTTGACGCTCGTAAATTGTGAGCGTCGTCTGCAAGAAAGACAGTTTACACAATGTACAAGGATGCAAAAAGAAATGAAGATCTTCACATACTATTGTGATAACAAACAGCTGACCTTGGTCAAGAGTTTATAAATGCTTTTGGTTAGTAAATTGTAATATATCTCTTAGGTCTCAGAAACACTAATTCTCAATTTATTCAAAACTAGCCGAAGAGGCATTCCTGACAATTTCGTCTATCAGAGGGAAAAGCTTTTCCAACTTCTGATTCTCAATTCCCTGTCCGCAGAGAAATTCGCGCCCGCAACCCGCAAGTTGCGCGCGCAACTTTTGCCTTCAGCGCAACTTTTGCGCAACTTTTGCGCAACTTTTACCATTTTCGTGAATTCGCGAATTTTAGCCAATTTCCCGCAAAATTTGGAAAAATAATTATAAAAGTTCATTAAAAACACCTAAATTTTCTTCCACGACTAAAAATAACGACGCCAAGGGGACAATTCGCTCCTTTGCACTATGGGGTGCCCGCCGCCGCCCTGTGACCCGGACCGGGTCAGGTCGGGTCAGGATGATCGCCCGACTCGTCGCCTGAAAACAACGAGTCGGGCTCGATCAACTCGTGCCACAATAGCCGCTTTGCACCATCAATCTGGCGAGCAAATCGACCCAATAGTCTTGTTTGGACTGAATCATCTTCTAGTCTAGCTAGATCTAGATCTAGAGTAAATAAACCTCTGATTACTTAGCTTGCTTGGTTCCGTAGCACCAGATAGTAGATAGATCTAGATCTAGTATAAAAATGTGTGAAAAACTTTAAGTCTTAGGCAAGGAGGGTAAATCTAGACAAGGATAGATTCATCCAGAAAACACCTAAAGGGGACGTTCAAATAATATCATCTTACGCCTGGAAAATAAA